AAACATGTAAACCCCGTCTCCAGCGGGAGAGGAGAGAAGATAATTGTTTTTTTTAGTGGCCACAGTTGTGCTGATGAGGTGAATTCGATGTAGTACCTCTACGAAGTGAGAGAAGAGTAGATTGAGTGAATCTTTAACTAGATCAGAGACGACTTTTAGTGGGCAGTTTAACACTCTGCCAGATGGTGGTGCTCACGCTACACTTCGGATTAAACAGAGCTCATTTTAGACAGTTGCGTTGTTAGGTAAAGTAGCAAGAAAATATGTAGTTGAATCCCATTAAAATATATCCAGGTGACATTTGACCTTGAAATCAATCTCAAAATAAAAAGAAAGAGTTATACCACACATCCATGATTCTCAGCTTTTGAACATGCACTTATTTAGTTATTGCTTATTTTTAACAGCATGCCATATATACATAATATATTGTATTTAATTATATTTACCTTAATTTTACATAAAATACAATAATCCTTCAGCAATTATTCTTTCTTCAGATGTTTCTTTTTTAATTATTTTTAAATACTTCACCTAAAAATTAAAATTGGACTTTAAATTCAATTCAAATCAATACAACACCATTATGTATGTTTAACGTTTAATAAAGAATTTCAGCAAAACGTCCATGCAGTTTCAAAACATGTTCCTAGTACTCTGATTGGTTCTGGTGAAAAAACAACTCTATATTCATGCATCTGTAAAATAAAATCATGATAAACATCACTGCTCTCCTGTACACCATCCAGCACTAGTCCAGTAAATGGTGGAAATGCACCAAATGTTCTTTATCTGCTATTTAATAGCATTTGGCAAACTAATATAAATGTGCATTTCTGACTTTTACAGTCTCCATTTAAAGTTTCCATTTGCTCTCTATTTAAGATAATTGCCGTCTGGGAGAAACAATTACGATTATTATCAAATTGTCTAGCTTAAGAGTAGTTACTTTGGTGCTGTGTGTTCCTGTTTTGTGCTCTTATGTGTTTATGTACGGTGTGTTAAAGTTCTCCTGGGCAGTTCGAGGTTTACGAGTTGGAAAGTCTTAATTAAGACATCAAGTGTGCTCAAGTCACTATGGTTGCAACAACATGGCGATGCATCTTTTTTCAACAATATTTTCGAACTCTGCTTCAAAAAAATGACAAATAAAGAATGTGCATCCGTGTGCTTATGATGCAACTTAAAGACAATTATAATAATTTAATTCATTTCAACAAATTTACCGTCAATACAGACACTGCATCTCAAATCTCACTGACACACTCCCAACTAGGAAACTCTGGGCTTAAAGAAAGTTCTGAGTTTCCCACTCATAATTTTGACTTTGTGGTGGCGTTCTTGTGAGTCAACTCCTAAATACGATCTTTCTTACAATATTTGTTGCAGGTATTTCAATGAATCTTGATTCTCAGTAATGTGTTCCCATGTTATCAAAGTGAATCCAGAGAAAAAGCTTGGGAACACATGCACAACTAAAAGTGAGCCAGTCTCGCACATTTAGCTTCTGTGTTCTCTGTACAGTCAAATGTACAGCCGCCTACTGTTCCACTCTTTTAAAAAAGAAAACAGGACTAAATCAAATGGTGACATGTGCGGAACTGCTTTACTGCAGCAAGCCTGAGGAGGAGAAATGCAGGGGTGATATTTCATTATCCTGTTACCCTCGGCACCCTGATGTTGTGCTCCTTTCACAATGAATGCCACATCTGCAACTGATATGGATGTTGCTTTTACAGAAGAATGAATGCTTTTAAAATGTCCCGACTGTGAAACTAAAGAAACCTACATTCACTTTACATATTTAAATCAAACCGCTTTAAAATATGAGGCGAGTAAATTATAAATTATATGGTCACAGAGTAAATATTTATTTTATTTATTTTTTATTTTTTATTTTTATTTTTTATTTATTTATTTGTTTGTTTGTTTGTTTGTTTGTTTATTTTCTGAACAAATTAATTTATTTCAATATTTTAGATGTTTTACATTATGTTTATTGACAGGGCTGTGCATTCTTTGGAATTGAATTGATAGTCTTTTACATTACAATTGAGTTCTTGAATTTGAACTGAGGTGAGAAACAAGATACAGAATTATAACTATAATCTAAAGTATTTTATACAATTATTTAGCCGAGCAAATGTATGTTCATTGAAGTTTTGTGCACCATTCAGAATTTGATTAAAACTGAAGTGGGAATTCCTTTTAAAATTTTATTCCAGAATATGCAATTCAAATTTGAATGTACAGAAATTTTAAACTGTAATTTGAAGGAAGTAGAAATTAAATTGAAGGAATTCTACATAACTGCTGCAAGTTTTGGATGGATTTTGTTATGAATTACCCATGAACACAACACAACACACACACACACACACACACACATTTTATTCCAGAATATGCAATTCAAATTTGAATGTACAGAAATTTTAAACTGTAATTTGAAGGAAGTAGAAATTAAATTGAAGGAATTCTACATAACTGCTGCAAGTTTTTAAATAATGTTTATTTGTTTGATGGATTTTGTTATGAATTACCCATGAACACAACACAACACACACACACACACACACACACATATGGGATATTTATAGAAAAAAAAAGTCAGTTTCATAGATTCCGCCCGTAGAATTCCTTATTTATTTAAATTATCATCGTGGATGAACATTTCAATTTACACCAAAGACTTAAAAATGAACCCAAATCAAAATATATAGGCTTACAAATTATATAAAGAATAAAGAATATTCCTGAGAAATCTAACTGATAAAAAAAATACATAAGAGGGAATAAATAAGCAAAATTAGTGAAAATCAGTTATGTCGCAAAAATTTATTTGACTTGCAGAACATACAGTAAATTCCTCTTTACATAGTGTTGAAATAAATAGAAAGGGTATCAGTTCCTAAATTTGGACTTTGGATTTAGGTTTTGCTTAAATTAACTGAAACCACGTATTGCGCCCCCTTGTGGCAAACTGAAGCTCATAATGCCATAGTTAATTAAATATGCAGAATGTGTTTCATTATTTAAGTTTTGGACATTTATAAACAATGTTCTAAATGGATCATTTTTCCTCACTCTATCCTGGTAGCAGCAAGCTCATTTTTTAACTGCAAACAGGTTTGATTTTCTCACAGGCACACAGCCTAGACCCCTGGTGACCTGTTTATTTAGGTGTGGGCTGATTAGAAATTCTCATGCTGAGCTCCTTTCAGCACACGGTGTATGGAACATAACAACTCTGCAATGCTCTAATGCACTTCTCTCTCTCCCTCTATCTCCTACATCAATTAATGGTGTAGTTAGAAAAGCACGTTTACCACCATGCCACCTTCATGAGCACAGGCTCTGCTGTAGCTAACACTAGCAGGTAACAGTTTCCATCCATCTGCTTATAGTATGTTCAAGACACACACTTTGATAACTGGGCGTCCTGACTTTGAGTAATGCATGTACAACTTTTCCATGACATTTACATTTGTTTGTGAATACTGATAACAATTTTTAGGTGGATTTCCATATGTATGCACAAATGTCTCAAGAAAAAGACACATTGCAAGATGTGAAGGTGATTCAGGACATGAATTGGCTTTCAGAGCGTCCATGCTCCCTTCAGTTGTGAGGACAAGCTTCAAATCTCATTCTTGTGATATGTGACAAAACAATTTCCTTGTATGCTATTCATTTCAAATAGCTGCCAAACAGCTGCCAAACAAAAACCATAAAATTACAGTAAAATACCTTAATCAAAATAAAGTTCAAAAACTATTTTACAGAAATGTTCATTAAAAAAGTTTTACAAAAAAATTTATTTTATTTTATAAACCATGCTTCCACGAAAAGCAGAACAAAATAGAAATACATTTGTGATGTGAAATACATTATTCATTCATTGCCATTTTTTAAATAATACTCATAAACATTTGACATAACACTGCATATTATATATATATATATATATATATATATATAATATTTATTTTTTATTTTTTTGCATTTGACAGAATTGACCCATGAATTATTGAGTGATAATCAAGGAAAAAAGTATTCTCTTATTTGAGAAAGGATAAAAAGCAGGAGGTTTCACTAGAATGTAAATGAATACCTCTGAACTTACTTAGTATCTAGCCAATTAAATATTGTATCAGAGTAAAAAAATCTGTGGGCCATTCAGAAATTAATTACAATTTAATTAATAATGCATTTTAAATTCCATTTCAATTCCTGAATTTGCTATTCAGATTTAAAATGCACAGCAATAAAATGAAAATTAACTGAACCTGGAGAATATGGTCTTATGGTGTTTAGACAGACAGTGAGACAAATAGACAACTTGTGCAAATAGCTGCTGAGGTTGCTAGGATGTTTAACATTAGCTCAGAGATGAATGTCAATTCTGGTCTGCTCAACCAAACAAGCTCTAAGAACAATTCAGCATCCACAGTTAAGACATCTTAAGTGCAAAATGCATAGCTGGAATTCTCTATTAATCTGTGTTTTGGGATTTTGAAAAGGTCCTACAAGATATTTTCGATCAGCCAACAACATACAGTACTTGACCAATGTGCTGCCAAATCACAGTTCTGCTAAACAAACCAGTTACACGCGTTACTGCATCAGCAACAATGCTCATCGATCAAGGGAGAGACAGACAGACAAACAGAAAGACAGTTTCCCTCAACTTTGTCCCATGTTCCGTGACAAACACCATTTTAGAGAGCATTTTAAGGGGTTCCTGGTGGACAGATAAGTGCAATTTCAAAGGGCTGATTCATCAAGCATCTGTTTTTAACAGCATCTTATTTAGCAGAAGTAGCGTGATGAGTGAGGACAGTTTTAATGTGTAGAGCTTGATGAGAGTGCATAGCAGGAGCTCTTTCATGGCCATGTGTCACGACCGCTGTTTACGGCCTTTGAATGTGGTAATGATGCCTCTTCCCCTGGACTGTGGCTGACATTTTTGTTGCTCTCTGTTTAGACAGACAGTGAGACAAATAGACAACTTGTGCAAATAGCTGCTGAGGTTGCTAGGATGTTTAACATTAGCTCAGAGATGAATGTCAATTCTGGTCTGCTCAACCAAACAAGCTCTAAGAACAATTCAGCATCCATTGTTAAGACATCTTAAGTGCAAAATGCATAGCTGGAATTCTGTATTAATCTTTGTTTTGGGATTTTGAAAAGGTCCTACAATATATTTTCTATCAGGCAACAACATACAGTACTTGACCAATGTGCTGCCAAATCACAGTTCTGCTAAACAAACCAGTTACACGCGTTACTGCATCAGCAACAATGCTCATCGATCAAGGGAGAGACAGACAGACAAACAGAAAGACAGTTTCCCTCAACTTTGTCCCATGTTCCGTGACAAACACCATTTTAGAGAGCATTTTAAGGGGTTCCTGGTGGACAGATAAGTGCAATTTCAAAGGGCTGATTCATCAAGCATCTGTTTTTAACAGCATCTTATTTAGCAGAAGTAGCGTGATGAGTGAGGACAGTTTTAATGTGTAGAGCTTGATGAGAGTGCATAGCAGGAGCTCTTTCATGGCCATGTGTCACGACCGCTGTTTACGGCCTTTGAATGTGGTAATGATGCCTCTTCCCCTGGACTGTGGCTGACATTTTTGTTGCTCTCCTTTATAGGTGTCAGTGAAGCCTTTACCCCAAAGCTGGTGTTGGTTACTGCAGACACACCCTGTGGATAGCGGAACCCATTTGTAGTCACATAATCACCACAACTGGAGACCAGAAATGGAGAACAGAACATCAGGAATGAGCGAGGGCCTCCATGTGAACTGCAGTATGTCTGGAAGACACAACTTCATCTTCACCTTTATCCCCGTCGTCTACGGATGCAATTTCGTCATCGGGATCATTGGCAATAGCATGGTGGTGGCTGTCATCTACCGCTACATGAAGTTGAAGACAGTAGCGAACGTGTTTGTGCTCAATCTAGCCATATCAGACCTCACCTTCCTTATTACGCTACCTTTGTGGGCCACTTTCACAGCTACCGGTTACCATTGGCCGTTTGGGACCTTCCTGTGCAAGGCAAGTGCCGGATTGGTCATCTTCAACCTCTATACTAGCATATTCTTCCTCACCGCTCTTAGCATTGATCGATATCTTGCTATCGTACATCCAGTGCGCTCCAGACGCCAACGCACACTTTTCTACGCCAACCTCACGTGTGTACTCATATGGCTGTTTGCCTTGTTCCTCAGTGCACCTACAGCGTTAAGCCGGGATGTGTACGACATTGGGAACTCTACATTGTGCGCCGTGTGGCACCGCAGTGAGCAGATTAACTTGCTAGTTACCCTTAGCGTGCTAAAAAGCGTGCTAGGTTTCCTTGTGCCTTTCCTCGTCATCATCACCTGCTATTGTCTGATCGGTCGGGCACTTTTGGGTTCCAGGGGTCTGTTGAGGAAAAGCGTTCGCTCTCGGGAAGACGAAACTCTTCGTATGATAGCCGCTACTGTGCTAGCTTTCTTTGTCTGTTGGGCTCCTCACCAAGCTTTCCACTTCATGGAGCTGCTGGCCACGCTTGGCGTAGTGGAAAACTGCCAAACACTGGATGTTATTGACACAGCCATGCCTGTTACCATCTGCATCTCCTATTTAAACAGTTGTGCAAACCCCATTCTTTATGGGTTTGTTGGACACAACTTTCGCAAGAACCTACTGAGGTTACTAGGCTGTGGGTCTGGACAATCTAGCAATAACTTTAGCATTAGCTCAAAGCTGAACGTCAACTCCCATTGTACCTCTGGTCTGCTCAACCCAACAAGCTCCAAGAACGATTCAACATCCACTGTTAAAACATCTTAAGTGTAAAAGGCATATCTGAAATGTTGTATTTATCTGTTTTGGGATTTTGAATGGTACTATAAGATATTTTTTGATTAACTAACAACATACTTGGCTAATGCACTGCCAAATCATAGTTCTGATAAACATATTAGTTACTGTATCAATAAAAATGCTCTCTAATCAAGGGAGCGATGAATTGCCTTCAAATGTCAGTTCCATTAAGATGTGTTATTCTGCTAAAATGTGTTATTCTGCTATAACCATGTTAATTTACTAAGATTCTTCATCATGACTGCAGAGAAAACTGAACATAGAAAAAAACAATATCTGCCAATATCCAGTATCTGTTAGTGCCTAAAACTAACGATCTGCTTCTCTGGGAAGTTTTCTTTTTCAAGTCAGCTGTGCTCGTATCACGTTATTTGCGGTCTAACACATTTAAGAATGCAGATTAATCACAGATTAATGCAATTAATTTGGCATTTGACAACATACACTGAAGTTTTTTTTTATTTTTTTATTATTATTTCTTTTCATAACAATGGACCATATTTATCACATAAAATCTTAAAAATATAAAATAAAACAATTAGAATAAAAAAATGTATTGCATATTGCAAAAACTGTGTATAGGTGATACTGTGTATATACTTATCCTGGTCACTCTTTTTTCACTTTAAATAATGTCTTTTACTTAAACCACTATGTATATAACATCTCTGAATCCAGTACAACAGTGTAAAATGTTCAATTATATTTGTGACCTAATTAATTCAAATACTTGAGATTGTGTCTCTGTAGTGCAACTGTAATGTTTCGAGACTTTTCTAGAAAAAAAAAAAATCAGTTGATAACTGTAGTAAGATATTAACTACTTCTATATGAGATATGAATGTGAAAACCATAAACACTGAAGATAAAAAAACAAAAATGTTTTACATTGTTGAATGTTTTTGTTTTCTTATATAATTTCTGATGTTACAAAGACATTACATAATAATGTTTTTTTGTTATATAGAATTTAGCCTTTAATTCAATTTTTTTGTTATATAGAATTTAGCCTTTAATTCATTTATTTGTTCTTTCTCTTTCTCTCTTATGTGTTCATTCCAGATTTTGTACTCATCTACACTGAACATTCAAACAGCACTAGATGTCTCCAGGACTACTTAAATAAAAGCCAGTTTTTTTAAACGATGGCCCCGATAAGTTTTTTCTTTTCTTTGTTAACATTTAAGCATCTGCCTTTTAACAGGTTAATGATTGAAAGATTTGTATTTGAAGCTGTTCACCTCTATTGCTAAAAATATCTTGAAAAGCATGTGCAACGTGAATTATAAATGATGCATATGAAGGCATTCTGGAGAAGGTCAGGACTGGGCGGCCCTTGAAGGCCTGGCATTATAAAAAGAGATCTGTGTGGAGAACATGAACATACTGGCAAAATGAAGGTCCTTTTGCTCTTGGGATTGGTGGCTGTTGCTCTCTGTGAGCCAACCAAATTTGTGGGGTAAAATCTTGAATATATTTTCATCTCTTTAACCAGAAAGATTACAACATGTGGAGCTAATATCTAAGATGGTAATATGTATACATATTTAAATATAGACATATTCATATCTCTCCACACTTCTCTAGAGATAAGGTCCTCCGTCTGACACCAGGATCCGAGGAAGATGTGACAATCATCAGGGAAATAGGCCACAAAATCAAGGTAAAATTAAAAATGCTAACTCTTATTAAAGATATAAAATATGGGCTTATTTATTTATTTAGTATTTTGTATAGAAGCACTGAGCAGCAAGGTAAAAAAAAAAAAGAATAATAATTTGCAAATTTTTTTATTTAATTATTATGTTTTGAAAAATTCTAAAATATATTTTCTCAAAAAAAAAAAAAGAAAAAAGAGAGGCAACAAGACAAATCTGCCAGCTAACAATTATCTTGTAGAACCAATCTTGGCCACCAGATAGCACTATCAGCTAATTCTTAAAAGCCATCAGAATTTCTGAAGTATAGTTATGGAATTATAGAACTGCAAGTTTTTGTAAATATAAATCAAGACAAAATGCTTCATTACAGCATCTTTTAATACAATAGATCTTTCAATTAAATGAACATACCTCGGGTTATATGATATGTGTGTGTGTGTGTGTGTGTGTGTGTGATGTGTGTGTGTGTGTGTATATATATATATATATGTGATGCTCTGAGTGTCCTGCAGGTGGCGGGACTTTCTCTGCTGGCGGTGGGTGTTTATTCCGCGCGTAACGCAACCGCTGTGGCCGGACGATACATCGAGGCGCGGCTAGGAAAACCTTCGCTAGTGCGAGAAACCTCACGATTCACTGTGGTGGAAGCCCTCAAACACCCCATCAAGGTACGACGATCAAGGTTTGATGATCACTTCCTGCGCAGACAGGAAGTGCGGTGGCACTCATGCACATATGTATCGTTTCAGATGGCGAAGCGCTTGAAGAGCAAGCCGCAGGACGCGCTGGAGGGAGTCGTGCTC